CTGAGCCGGCGGCGCGGGGGAGCTCCGCTCTGCAGCGGCCGGTTGCTTCCCGGACCCGAAGGGTGGCTGTGATGGCAAACCTAGGTACGGGGGTGGCCGGAGGGCCAAAAGGTCGGGTTAAAATAGCTGAATCTCTGTCGTCCGAATGGGTAAGGAGCAGTTTCGGTGTAAGTATTCCATGTAGCTTGTGCAAAACAGTCGAACGAATAGCAGTATAGTGCAAGAAAACTGCTTTTAAAAACCTCTATTAGTGGCCTTTCGAGCAAGGTTGCATATAGCTAGATACATGGAGACCACTGAATTTTATTAACTTGGGTGGGGTAGGCAAGTAGGGAACTCCGTGGCTAAATTTTGTTTTGGAATTAAAACACTCGCCTGTCTGCAGATAGCTGTCATGCAGTCTGCTGCCCCGCGTGTTGCTTTCCTCCTTCTTGTCCACAGTAATTTACAGCTCTACTAAGTAAGCATTGTCTTTGAAGTGTTGTACAACACTGAAATTGCCAGTGCTTGCTTTTTTCAGCTCAAGAGTGATTGTGTGTGGCTGGGTTTTTTTGGGGAATTTTTTTGTGATTTTTTTAGTAGCTTATAAAGTAACAAACTGTAATGGCAGGCTGGAGGGGGAGGGCTGTTTCTCAGACATACCCAAAATAAATGCGAAACCTTTTTTTTGTGGCACTTTCATTTCTAGAGAAATCTAACCAAACGGTGGTACAACTACATCTGTGTCAGTACCAACATGGGATTTATAACAAACTTATTTTTCTCTGTCTTCTTTCGGGTTGTAAGGAGCTCTGTTTGTTGCCTTAATTTTAGTAAAGCCTTTTCCATTAAGTTAAAAATGAGTGTGTAGTTAAAAAAATAAAAGCTCCAGCAGTCCTTGTTTTGCTTTTGAGTGCTCAAACAAACCGTCAGCTTCCTATAATTGAAAATTTGTGAAAAAAATTGCAGAGGGTCAAATGAGGTATTTGGATTTCCAGCTATATTTTATTTTGTGTCAAGTTAGTAATAAATCATGAGAAACAGATCTTTTGGCTCCTTAGGATTGGAATTTTACATGAAGGTTTCACAGTGAATAAGAACTTCTCAGCAAAAAGGCTTATAAGAATTCCTCAAGTTGGGTTTTCCTTTTTATAATGTTCATTCTCCTTAGTGTTTTGTTTTTGTTCTCCACAGAGGAGACAGTATGTTGGCCCGGAACAGTGTAACCCACATAATCCCTTAGGGACGGGCTCTGGTCACATAGTTATATTGGGAAGAATATGAATGCACAATATAGCCTGGCCAATAGAAGCTGCTGTTGCTAAGAGTCCCTGGAGCAGAAGGGAAACTAATGCAAGGGAGAAAGACAAGCACAGAAGAGCAGAAATAATTGCTTGGCAAGTTATTGAAAGTGTGGAAGCAGTAACAGAGAAGTAGGTGCAAGGAGGATGTCAGTTACCTCACAAATTGTTAGAAATGTTGGACCTAAGGGTATTTTGAAGTTGGCTGAAAGTAACAGAATATTTAAGTTGGGAGATGCTCAACTGTGAGCTGCTGAGAAGTGTCAGCTCTTACTAAATCAGAATAAAGAATAGTTTGCTCATTCTACTTGAACATGGGGGCACAAGATGGAAAGTGAAGGCTAGGTCTCTGCAAGATTAAACTAGCAGAGGTATAAATGTAGGTATTTCTCGTGACAAGTTTTGCTGACTGAGTTTGTGGCTAGATGTAAATTAGAATAAATGAAGAGATTCTGGCAGTAGATACTGGAATGACGTCATGATGCTGGGGTTATGAGGACTGAAGGATTCCTTCCCTGGGCTGCTGCTTTCATAGTCCTGAGTCATGCCAGGCAACTGTTTGAACTAGAGTCCTGAACTATGCAGGAGGTCAAAATAACCTTCTAAAAAACCCCCCAAATATTTTTTGATATAGAAAAGAGTGGCAACAGCTGTGTGTCAGTTCAGTTTCGGTTGTGTTCGTATTACAAATTATTATGAATAAACTCTAGTGATATTCTGGTGTTAGATAAGGCCTGTTTAGGCTGTTTAAAACTAGAGGCAATTTTCAGATAACCTGTCATCAAATTACTAAAGAGCTATCCGTCAGAAAACACAAGCTACCTTCACAGTGCAGTGGTGAAATCGTAGATAAAGGAAGGAAGACTTGCAAGATGATTAGGATCTCAGTAGGTCGAGCCATGTGACTAAAGGGCTTGTAGAGAACCAGGCAGCTGACAAGTGCCCATTATTTAAGGGGTGTTCCTGATCCACAGGTCTTAGGTAGAGGGGAGAGTCAGTTTGGAGGCTGAGTAATGTCTGGGCATGTAATGCGTTCAGAAGTACAATGCGTGCAGCAGTTTAGGTTTCATATCTGTACGTTTCCCCCTGAATTGAGAGCAAAATGTTTTGGGGTTGAACAGGCTGGTGACTTCTTATGCACCAAGTAACTGTTCCTGTGCCACTTAATTGGCCAGGGTGTAAACCAGTACCTTCTAAATACAAGAACAAGGATTGGCCAAATGGAGAAAGAGGAGACAATTTTCTTCTGTCCTTTCTTTTCAGATTCCTGGAAACTTGCAGATATGCTGTAGGTGACAAGTATAACTACTCTGTAGTAATTGAGGGCATGTCAAGATTCCACAAACAGCAAGTGTGTTGAAAACTACTTTTCACAGTCTGGATTCTGCCCCTTCTGCTGCAACTCTGATATTCTTGGGACTTTTTTCAGACACTTTACAGAGAAGCAATTTATGTCATTTTTTCATGAGCCACTGCAACTAACAAACCACAGGAAACAGCTTTTTTTTTTTTTATGCTAGCCTGGTAAATATCAGCAAATGCTTTGTTAGTGTTAAGAAAAATAATTACTAATGGGAGAGTAAGATTACATTATTGAAAGGCAAGTGTTTTGGTCAGACAAAATACTTGGAAGTGTTAGTGTGCCCTTTTAAACTGTTAATGTCTGAGACCTGTTAACAAAATAAGATGGCTTAGCAAAGAAAATTGTGAATAACCTTCAGAGCTGAAATGGATGTGTTGTGTATGTGTAAATTTGAGGATAGATAGGAAGCTATGTAACATGGTCAGTGTTATTGTTATGCCAGTTATGGAACTGCTAATTCTGCTTGTCAGTAACTTTGAGAGAGCGTTTTCTTAAATCTTTAACAAAGATGGCCCCTTTTATAAGAAATCTTGGCTGAAAGCTTATGAGGCTGTAAATAAATGCAATTAGTTGGAACAAACTTGAGCCTGCCTTTCCTTGGATTTTTGCTTTCTTTCCTTCCCCAAGTCAAACGGGTGCTCTTTAACAACTTTAGTTAAAGGTCGGTTCACCATGTATCTACAAGGAAACCTTTGGGTTTAGTCTTGATTTCATATAGCAGGTGGTTCGTCAGTGACCATGGCTGGAAATGGTGGTTGAAATACATTCTCTTTCCTGTTTCCAAGTTAGAAAGTAGGTACAAGTGGAGAAACAATAGTTTGGAAATTTGAAGTGTCCCTTACAGCTGTTTATTCAAGAATACAGAGGGAATTCAGTGGTGCTGTTGCAACAGATCCGGTTTTTGGTGTCTTTCATTAAAAAAGCAGGGGAGCGGGGTGTAGAAGTGAGATTGCAGTTGCTGTGTGGTTTGGGGTTTTTTTGGTGTGCTACTCTGTCTGGTATCAGTAAAAGTGAAACTATGAATCAGTCCAGTTGACTCTGTTTGCTTGATAGTTTAAGTTGGGGTTGTAGCTTGCTGACATCATAAATACAACGCAGTTATCGTATTGGCTAACACTTATTTTTCCATAGACAAAACTTGAGTTCAGCACTTGTCTTCAGCCTTCAGTACTCTGGTATAAGTAGGTCCTCCTTATTCTATTAAATTATTTTTATAGTAAAAAAAGACAGATTCATAAGTTAAGTTTGCATGTTGTTGCTATGGTTTTCTAGACCAAGAATCTCGCTTTTCTCTGAGTGCTGCCTCAGTACCTAAAAGAGGTAATTGCACTCAAAAGGCAGCTACGAAGTTGACAGTCATGAAACTTAAAAAAAAAATGTAGATGGATAGATTGGACAAGGCAGTGGTGTTTAAGCTTTGAGGGGCTGGGAATCAAAGATTCTGTAATATGCACTGGGTGGTTGTTTTTTTTTAAGTTGCTTAGCATGTTGTTTTCAGTCTTGCCAGCAAATACTTGGACTGCTAATGGAAATGTTTGATTTGTAATTCATTTCACTGTTTAAAAGGAAGATTATGGGACGTGACAATTAAATTACTTTTTGTATTATGGTGTATGATCATGTTAGAAATGGTGTTTAGTGGAAACTGTTCCCTCCTTTTAACAGGAATATTGAAGTTGGTGGTAGAAGAGCTGGACTCATTATAAGTTGGTGGAGGCAATTCAGAAATGGTTATCAAAATGGACCAGAGTGGCACTGCTTTTTATTTGTTTGCTCTGAATTTCTTTGAATATTGAAATGATAGAGGAACATGAGGGTGAAATCTTCTGTTAACAGACTCCTCTCCTCAGTGTACAAGGTTGAGACTACTTTTACATTAAACTAGTTATGCAGCACAGTAAGAAGTAACTGGAACAAATAGTTACCTGTAATTCTGTGGTGTCTTGCAGTTCCTGATGTTGATTAAAACAATCAGATGCACATTAGAAACTAAGTTTTTGTTTTGTTTTCAGATGCTGAATGATGATTTAAACTGAACAATTAAGGTAAAATAAATCTTCAGAAATATGGTATCAGGTGTTGACTGTTCCTTCTAAATGCATTGTCAAAAAGCACAATATACAGATAAGTTTGAAGTATGTAATAGAAGTAACATTAGTTCTCCAAGCATCTTAAGGATTTTATTGTTATTTTATTTGTTGGAGTGTTAAGGCTTCATAATGTGGAAAAAAAAATTTTAAATTGAGCTTTTTAAAAATCCCAACTTATTTAAAGATGTCAAAATGGAAAAAACGCAGCAGCCTACTGTGCTGAAAACATCCTGGTTCTGCAGACACTGTAAATCAGTCAGCGGGGCAGCAGATGAGTTCCTTATATAGATCAAAAAACCTGTGGTTGTATGAAGTCTTTGCTGCTTCCAAACAAAAGTACTTCTTAATGCATTTAAACATGTTTCTTTGCTGCCTCACATCCAGCTTGTAAGCATGTATTTAAATGACTGAACATATTTCCTATTTATTTTGGATTAAAAGCTTTGCAAAAACATAAACTGCTATCTAAGCATGACAGCTTCTACAGGGGAAGCTGAATGTCCTGAAAAGTGACGTTGCCTGCAACATCGCATTGAGATACTTGCTTGTCAGTCCTGGGAAGACTGTTTCTGTAGCCTTTGTGTAGAAGGACCAGTTTGGTTCTAATTGAGAAGACATTTTTAGTGGCTGATCTGTAATTGTCTGTCCAGTAAAAGTATTTTTATCGTTGTTATTCTCCTAGACCTCCCTGCAATGGCTCATGTAGTTGAAATTGTGCTAATTATCTTCTCAGGTTTTGGATGCAAAAAAGTGGTAGATACCGTTAACAGTTTCCTTGTATTATGTTTAAAATGTGGCTTCATGGACAATTTCATGGTAATAACTGCAGTTCTTCACACTGCAGAAGCTACAGAAAGAAGTGCATAGTACCAGTCAGAACTACTTAACTCAGTACTTACTGACATTATGTTTTCTAGGGAACTTGCGATTTCAGTAGTACAGAAAAAATAAGTTGTAACTTGTTCCCTAGGCTGAAATGGAAGAACAGGGAAGCATTCAGTACCCTCTGTTCTCATGAATGCATTATTTATTAAGAAGATGCTCCTATTGAATGGCATAGCTCAGAGAACTTATTTGCTAACAAACAGTAGGAATTAGGGAGATAAATTAAGACACTGGACCATTTTAAAGACTTCAGTATGAACCTAGAACTCGTATGCAAGTAGTCAAGTGACTCTAATGAGACTTTTCACATACATAAAAATGTATGTGTTCATATCCTGAGCCATAGCAATTATCCCATAGCTCTCTGAAAAGTAAATGAGCGATCCATTTGTAGCTCTTAAGCAGTTTTAATTGTGATACAAACTTGTACAAATTTAAGGGTTTATAAACATTGCTTTTAATTGCACAGTATAAATTAATAAAATTACTTGCTCTGAACCAATTTTTAATGGAAGCAGCCACTGCTCCTATGTTGAAATTTCTTTGTGTTGAGGCTTCAGCTGTTCTCAAACTATAAAGCATTTCTTCTGTCCTACTGTAGACTGTGTCTAACAAATAAACATTCAAAGATGGAAAGTTAGAGATGAAAAAATTCCTGAAATTTCTCACTTCCAATTTAGGCCTTGATTCTAAGGCAGCACAGAGTCATGTGACTGTCATGCCAGCTTGTATCAGGTATTAATTCCATAACTATACTCTGTGGGTGATGTATATGCCAGTAACGCTAATTACAACTAGCAAAACCGCATTCCTTCCTTCAGAGAAGGAGGGGACTAGGGTACTTATGACCTGTTTCCATTTTGAATAGATGCTGTTTTCAGAGAAGCCTGTTCTGGCCGAGTTGCTTTGAGCACTTTAAGTATCAGGCAGGTATAGGAACAGCAGTTCTCCTCATACAGAAACTTACGTTTGGGCTATTTAAAATGAAACTTTACCCTCAATCAATATAAACACTTTTTTACAGTATTGGATGACACTACTGTAATGAGGGCAAAGCTTGGGCTGGTACAAAACACTAATGAGGGAACTACTGCAGTGTTAAAGGATTTTTTTTTTTTTTTTTTTTTTAAAGCCTGGCAGTGTAAAAGCTTCACTGGTGCTGCTAATTCACCATCCCTGTGCTGGCAGCCAAGACTATTGACTAGCACTTCCAGGCTTTTTGACAGTTTCACCATGGGAAATTGACTGACTGAACTGTCAGTGTAGGCTTGGCATCTTGAGTACCATCTGAAGCACAACAGTGAATTTGTTTTTGTAGTACTTGTAATAATTACTCTGTTCACTGTGGCTGTTCTGCAAGGAGTAAACTGTAAAATATTGAATGTTTTTGTACCGAATGCCTAATAACCTGACTTTTAAAATTACTGCATTTGCATTTGTTCTGTAGATAGCCATATTCCCTGTGAGTTGATTTAAAATTCCTTGTCTGGTTGCAGTTCTGGGTGAAGTGCAGGGGTTATTCCAGTATAGCAGATAGCATCCTGCTTTATTCCTAAAGCTTCCTCTTCGCTTTTGCATGTTAAAACATAACTGCTAATGAAGTATGGCACTAAAGTGACTGGTTGCAGACATGTGCTCTGTAAAATTCTCTCCCTCCACTTTCTTCCACAGATCTTTTTGAGTGAATGTAAATGAGTCGTTCCACTTGTTGAATGTGATGCGATACCCCTTGTGCACAAATGCTGGAGGGTTTGGGGTTTCTAAGTGACAGACCCGTGATTCACACGGTGTACTGCTTAGACTGCCATACAGAGCACAGTCTGTGGAAGAGAGACCTCTTGAACACGTGGTATTCTTGGGTGGGTATTCTTAATACGAGTATCCAGACTTCACCTATTTAGCATTGTCCTCCTGCTTTTGTACGTGAAACTTGATGTTGGTGGACTTCAATGCTTTCTAGATACTTACGTGTGTAAAATTTTCTGTTCTCAACTCTTTCCTTTTTAATGATTTTCTTAATCCTTACAGGTCTAGGAAACCAGGAGGATCTATTCCAGTAACAATGGCAGCAAAATCATCACTCCTTAAAGTAATACTGCTAGGAGATGGTGGAGTTGGGAAGAGTTCCCTTATGAACAGATACGTCACCAACAAGTTTGATGCACAACTGTTTCATACAATAGGTGTGGAATTCTTAAATAAAGAGTTGGAAGTCGATGGACATCTTGTGACAATGCAGATATGGGACACAGCGGGCCAGGAACGCTTTAGGAGCTTGCGGACTCCTTTCTACAGAGGTTCTGACTGTTGCCTGCTAACCTTCAGTGTGGATGACTCTCAAAGCTTCCAAAACTTAGGCAACTGGAAGAAAGAATTCATTTATTATGCAGATGTCAAGGAGCCTGAAAGCTTTCCGTTTGTGATACTGGGTAACAAAGTTGATATCGATGAAAGGCAAGTGTCTGCAGAAGAAGCCCAAGACTGGTGCAGGAATAATGGCAACCATCCGTATTTTGAAACCAGTGCAAAAGATGCCACTAATGTTGCAGCAGCCTTTGAAGAAGCTGTTAGAAGAGTTCTAGCCTCTGAAGACAGATCAGATCACTTTATTCAAACAGATACAGTAAACCTGCATCGGAAACCGAAACCCAGTTCATCGTGTTGTTGACTTAAATTTTTTTTTTTTTTGCCAAATTACTTTTGACTAGCTTGCTTTATAAGAGGATGCAGAAGGTGTAGTAGATACAATTACAAATGGGTTTCACTCTGTTATTAAAATTGTAATATTCTGCTGCTTTCTTGAGGGAGCAAAAGAAAAGTTTCCATTCATGAGTGACCCATTATTGAATTAGTGACACTTTCTGTTTAGGAAGGTGTCAAGTAAAAAAATATAAGAATGTAATTTGCCAACTTTATTCAAATTATAAATACTTTGAATATAATTAAAACTTGAAAGTTCTAGAAGCACTACTTTGGAGAAACTGTTCTGGAATTCAGGCACAAAGATAATTTTATATGTGTATATTTTTATGAAATCAGCATTCCATTTTTGTTTCACTAGAGGTCAGTTTCTTAACAATGCTAGATATTAAAGTTTAGTCTCACTACATTCCTTTTGCTGTGAGTGGTACTTCATCTCTAATGTCTTTACTATAAGTTAATACAAATTACCTTCAGGTCTTCTCTAATTGCCTAATTCCTATAATTTGTGTATTTTTTTTAAGTAGGAAATAAATTTCCTACATATTTAATGTCCATTTTTTTCATTTACTGTTGTAATGTTGTACTAATTTTTCCAGCAGTTTAATGCAAGATAACTGATGATTTTTTTTAAGTTAATACATGTCTTTGCCTTAAGTCCCATTCTAGCATGTTTCTGGTCAATAAGGTAAAAAAATCTGAGTCCCTGAAGTATAATCATTTTTAGTTAGGAAAAAGATACACTTTATTCAGTCAGCTTTAATAGCACTTGAAGGGATGTAGATTACGACAAATCTGTAAGAACTTTTAGTATACAGCCTTAAAGTTCCAAACTTCTTATTCCTGTTAACCTGAGCTATGAATGTGTTTACCAGTAATCTCTGCACTGTGAAACTAAGGATTTGCAATACGTAGAGAACTCAGGAAGCTCTTGACTTACAGTAGGTTGTGGCAGCTTTCAGCCCTAAGACAAGTAAATGCCTACAGCCAGTGTTTGAGCTGAATTTGATCCTTATTTAATTTGCTGCTTTAGGATATGGACTTAGACATTTAAGACAATGTCTTTTATATTATTGTACTCATTACATGATTATGAACAGAAGCAAATTCTGTATTTAATGGGCAGTCTTTCTGCAGTAATGCAGATGAAACCACAGAGGGTGTATTTGAGGCACTCTGTTGCAGTTAAATGGTGGAATACCTGTATGAGAAGCTGTTGGAAGTTGGCGCTCGGAGTACCCTCTGTCCTTGTAATAGCAAACTTGATAGTGCACTATTGCTTCAGTGTGTAATCTGACTGCTAACAGGCATGCACATACACACATTGTGGACTTCAAAAGGAAGTCTGACCTGTACAGGACAGGCCATGTTATTCACTAAGCTACACAAACTCTGCTTTCTGTACAGCAACTTTTGTGTTCCAGTAGAAAAGCCTTTTCTGAGAGTACAGTAACAGCGAGAGTTTTCTGTTAACGTGTCTGCTCACTGTGTACCAGGTGTAATTATTTGGAAGTAAAGCTTTAAAAACAAACCTATTCTTGCTTGTACCTGTCCAGGACAACTTTGCTTCCTAGATCTGCTGCTCCTGCTTTAAAGTGAAATCTTTTTACCTTTTATACATTCTAAGTCGAATTAATTCTTACAGTCCTGCGTATACAGCAACAGAACTGTTGTAAGCTTCAGTCACCTAACAGCTAAAGATAAGCTGAGCTGCTACTTCTATTATATTTAATTTCTAGTTAATGAATTAAAAGATCTGTGAAGCAAATATTATCTAAACTCCTCTTAAACTGAGAGAGCAAAACGCTTTAAAGACTAAGATTGCTTGTGTTGAGGGCTCCTAAGCTAGTGACGCGAAATTGTTGTATAACACTACTACCTTACTACTTAAAGCTTCCTTTAATGTTCATTTTAGCAAAGGTAAGGTTGAAACAAAACAGGAGATGAAGTTGCTGTGACTAGAGTACTCTAGGTATGATTCAAACAAGATTGCTAAAAGGAAACAGCTGAGGATGAGAACCATTGTGGTCTTTCTTGTGCCTAAGAGTCCATTCGTGTTTTCCCATCTGTCCCCTTTCCATGTAACATCATGGTTACCAAGCTCCATCTGAGAAGTGGGTTTCATAAAGTTAAATAAAACTTAATACAACAGAAGTGTATTACGTGTGCCCTGGGAGCTGCTGTACCACAACTGTATGCTAATCACAAAATGGCTACTGAAGATATGGGGGAAGGGGGGTACGTGCTGTAGTAAATAAGACAGTATAGGAATTATGTTGAGGTCAGGATTTGGTCTGAGAGGGAGACTATCAAGTACTTGAACAAAGCAAAAGTGCTATGAAAAGCAGATGTAGATGATAGATACAAAAAAGAAATCTTTGTAATGTTTAACAAATAAGCATTTCTGTACGTTGTGAAAGCTTAGTATCCATCATTTGGTGTGGAGGTAAGGTACACACTTGTGGCTTATGTTTCAATTCACTGATTGAAGTGTTAGGGGGTCCTGTTAGAAATACTGAGATCTGTAGAGTGACAAAGGTCCAGATGGCCTTTAAAATGAGGAGCAAAAATACTGTTGCGGCAGACTGGTGGGACTGATGAAAGCTATGCATGTGAGTACAGAGAGCGAAATGGGAAGGGGCAGAAGAAACTATAGCCAGGACACAGCTAACGGCTCACGTTACAACTCTTGCTTTCTCATACTGCAACAGATTTCATTTGAATTCTTATTCCTAAGCCTCTGAGATTGGGTGTGAACATAATACTTGCAAAGGAGGTCTCTCTTTTGCCTTGTCCATTGACCTTCATATTGCTGGAAACGTTCCCTGTGCGATGCGTGCCAGAACTGCATCTTTCAGGCCTCGACCAGATGTGTGACTGTAGCTGCTGACAAGGTAACTTTCGCCTGTCACTTCCACAGAGCAGTCTCTCAGCTTATTGTAAAAAGTCACAAAACAAAGCATAAATAAGTGTTCCGCTGTGTCTGGGGAGATCACAGCTACCTAGCCAAGGTGCTCCAGAATGCTGTCATGAGACAACATTCCTCGCTGTGAGTTAGCACATCATTCTCCCTTTCCTGGGGCCAGTGACAGTCTGTTTTCATAAAGCCTAGATGGACCAAGGAGACTGCATTTCCCATTTGCAGTTCCTATATTCAGAAGAAAAGGGGGAAGATGTATGGGGGCATAAGAACAGGCACCATTTAGCTAACTGCCTCCAGAGATCAGCCAAGAGATAAAATGTTTACATTTCACATAACTTCCTACTATGTGCTGGCAGAAAAGAACACAATTATCAAAAATGCCACAGTTTCTACATCTTAGCACTAATCCTTTATCTTTGCCAAAACTTTTCTTACTGCCACGTTTATGATTATTTAACATAAATATTTCCTCAGTGAATCTTAACAGTTTGTTAGTACAACCGCTGTGCTACTGGGGAGTACGTGGAAAACAACAGCTCCACCTTAATGGCTCCTTATCATATGAATGAGAATGCTTTACCTCAAGTGTGTTTCCATTGCTTTCATGTATAAAGCAAAAAAAAAAACCAAACACCAAACCAAAACCCACAACCCCATGCAACAGTACAGGCTCGGGGTGGACCTGCTGGACAGCAGCTCTGTGGAGAGGGACGTGGGTGTCCTGGTGGACAACAAGTTGACCATGACCCAGCTGTGTGCCCTTGCTGACAAGAAGGCCCATGGTCTCCTGGGTTGAGGAGGTTCTCCCCCTCTGCCCTAGTGAGGGCCCCATCTGGAGTACTGTGTCCAGTTTTGGGCTCCCTAGCTCAAGAAAAATGAACTACCAGAGAGAGTCCAGCCCAGAGAAGGGCTACGAAGATGATGAGGGGACTGGAGCATTTCTCCTACCAGGAAAGGCTGAGGGAGCTGGGCTTGTTCAGCCTGGAGAAGGCTGCGAGGGGACCTTGTAAATGCTTATAAATATCTTAAGGGTGGGTGTCAGGAGGATGGGTCCAGACTCTTTTCAGTGGTGCCCAGCGACAGGATAAGGGGCAATGGGCACAAACTGAAGCATAGGAAGTTCCGTCTGAACATGAGGAAGAACTTCTTCCCTCTGAGGGTGACGGAGCACTGGCACAGGCTGCCCAGAGGGGTTGTGGATTCTCCTTCTCTGGAGATATTCAAAACCCGCCTGTGCAGCCTGCTGTAGGTGAACCTGCTTTACCAGGGGGGTTGGACTGGATGATCTCCACAGGTCCCTTCCAACCCCCGCTATTCTGTGATTCCGTGATACTCAGTAGGCATCAATACTGCATCATTCCACATTTTATTTAAGGTAAGTATTGCAGCCTTTATATCATGTTCTTTTTCTCATGGAATATTTTACAGTGACAGTTTAGCAGTAAGAGTAAATTACAAACAATGACTGACTATACATTTAAAGCACATATATATATGTGGTCCCTTTAATTGTACAGATTATGCAAAATGTACTTTCTGGAACAGCATGCCGCTTCCTTTGGAAATTACTTTTCAGACATTTAAAAAGTGTCAAGAACATAGCTTACACAGATTTGCCCCAAAAGGAAACAGACTGATTAAATGTTTGTGAAACCAACCAAAATATTAGGTACATATAAGCCAAATGGCCCATTTAAAAATTACTATTTTGGAACGACGGTGAATTTTGCAAAAGGGTCCCTAACCACATTTTACAACAGAATAGTAGTCAGACAGGCCAAATATTGCCTTTATGAAACCTTAACAAAGAGTTTCATGGTTCAAAGATCCTAGTCTAAATACATTTTCAAAAAGAAAAGTTCAGCACTTGCAGAGATAATGCAAAGAAGTGGGTTTAAACATGTAAATTTAGTTTATCCCATGTGTTAATTAGAATCAAAATCAGGGACAACAGCTGTTCTGGCTTTATTAATTCATTTCATTGATGCAGCACTGCAGCTAAACATGCATTGCACTAAAAATCTAGTAAATTTGCAATTCTACATTTTAAAATTTGTTTTTTTTCTCAAAGCTTCCCAAAATACTGAAGACAAAGCTTTGCTGATATATCCTCTTTTCTTTTTATTTAGCACTTTATAATACATACATTACAATATTAATATACACCTGATTTAATACCATGAAGAGTAAGGTTAGTCTGCACAGTAAGTTCTCTGGCAAAGGACTGTAAGTAGAAAGGTTTATAACAAAATTAACCACTTAAGCAGAACAGTCAAGAACTCCCTTTTGCTCCTATTAAATCACAACTGGAGATGTCTTTTGTGTTTAGATCCGATTTCCTCCCACCCTGTGTAAGAGGCTTACATTCTGCATACGCATTGACACTCACATGTCTCAGTTTGTACCTGTTCAGCCCCTGACATTTTTAAACTTAGTTTTCATAACACATAAAAGGAAACTTCTTCAGATACACATTTTTAACCAGAGAAGCTTGGCTGTGCTTATCTGTACCAGAAAAAAACCCCACCTTCATCAGCATCCAATCTGTCAATCTTCAGAAAGATGAATATCAAACATGCTAAGAATTAACCAGAAGAACTACAGTTCAAATAATCAGGGAAGTATGGAAAAAGCACGCTCTCAGGGAAGTTACTTGCTCAGCTTAACAGGTGTTTCTTCCCAAGGAACTGTACTTTCCTTTCAAAGGCACTGGATCGAATAGGAGAATTGAGTTCATAAAACGGATTCATTGCAAACTGAGGAAATAAGAAAAAGTCATCAATAAGCACAACGTCCAGCACAGGAGAATGTTATTTCAAATGGCAACTACTATTTGCTTTCACCCTATTTAGTGCCACTTCAGAGCACGGAGCTGCTGCACAGTCCTTTGCTTTCCGGGCCCTTACGTTCTCCCCACGTATGTGCACAGCCACCCCTCAGGACCAGCTCCTCAGAATAAACCCATCGTGGTGCTGGTGGGAATTGCTGTTTTGGAAATCGGCATCATCCGAGTCCCCGTAGGAGGTGGGGATGGTGATTCCCCCCATCAGCGCCTGCGAGTGCTGCATTGAGTGGGAGCAGCGGCAGGCTGCGAGAACACCGGCTGCTGCTGGGACAGCGAGGCACTTTGACCGGGCTTCTGCAGAACAGCCCTTTGCTTTCATTATCACCGCTAACGGCACGGTCCTGCCCCAGAATCACGGGACTACAATGAAGAATAAATTCCAGAAGAGCACAGTTTGTAACAATTTAGAAAAATCTGTTCTGTTCAATGGAAAACACAGACTTTATGTCACACATTATCAACTCGGGCTAATGTGGACACCACGGGTGCTTCTCCACTTACACAGGCCCCCATAAAAAAAACACGCTACTACAGGCGTGCCTCAGAGTGTACAGCAGAACATGCTTAAAGGTACTGTGGTGAGACCATAAGAAGTGGGTTCTTACCTTTATATACAAGTCATATACATCATTAAAGAAGTTCTTAATTCCATCTTCTTGCCTTACATCATGAAGCATTATAAATCTCATATGTAAAGCAATTAAGGAAGACTTAACTTTTACAAAGAAGAGAGACATTTAACATATCCTGACACAAGCATTTACACCTAATTCTGCATATACTTAAAATGTTTAGCTGTACATGAAATAGCAGTGACTACAGGAGGAAGCATTACAAGTAGTAACTGGAGCAGTGAAATTTAGAAAGCATTACCTCTATGTTTTAAAGTTTCCCTATTTGAAAATAAAAATAATCACCCCTCTATTCAAGGTCATTGTTTTTAAAGCTAGACAATTCTGAACCTGGACGATGCTCTCAGCACCTCTGCCGTACGCCCCTGAAGTTACAATGACATTCAGTGTTACTTCCTATGTTTAAGAAATGTTTATCCCTGCTTCTCCTCTCTAGCGCTATCAAAGGGACAGGAACAGAGAACCATACAAGCCTGCTCAGATCCTCTCATATTATTCCCCTCTCACTCCTCTTTCCTCTACTCCGTGTGTGCTCCACATTTCATTAGGCTATTGCAGCTCCTCCAAAAGGAAAAATCTTTCTTTCCAATTGGTCCCGATTGTCAACAACTGCTGTGCCTCCCAGCTTACTTTGTTCTGAAGCTGGTGACCCTCTCTAACAATAATAGTGGTGAACAACCAGAGAAATCTCTTCCAAACTCACTTCATCTCACTTAACCCTTCCTGGCAAAAGGCTTTTCCTATATAAATATGAGGAAAGAGAAGAAGGAAGGATATGTCCAGCTGTGACAAAAGCAGAAACAAACCATTCGTTAAACTTGTCCACAGTCTTCAGATACATGTTGTTGGAGAGCCACATGTTCTCATCCACTAGGTCAAGAGCAGCATGGGCAATGAACTGGTTGAGATGGCGATGATCATCCTAATGTGTTTCCAGAAGACAGAAGATTCGTAGTTCAGTGAAAGGAGTGAAATACAAACAATAATTTGCTCAAGCTGCTAAACAACTAGTGCTAAAGTTACATGAAGTTTTATATACCCTTCTTCTCTGCCATATATGTGCCACCCTGTAATTAAATGAAACTAGTATATATTGTCAACGATACCTGGTTTCAAGGGAGAAAAAAGATCATCGTAAAAAGGTCAACATAAAAACAGTCTTGAGAGCAGCAAAACCAATACAGTCAATATTTATAGCTCAGGAATTAATTAAGGAGTGAATTCTTTTGTTTATCAACAGGTAATCTCCCACTGCAAACTTCTTCCACAACAGAGGCCCTGATAAAAGGCTTTTTTTCCCTGCTTTCCAGACACCTGGTTTTGTGAAATTTACAGCAATTTAGCATTTTTTGGACCATAATGTCTCTGTCAAATTTGGCAGACATTGAACAATAGGTTACAATGTGTAAAACAGATGCGGAAGGCGGAGAGATACAGAGGACAGATATACTGATAACATTATCACCTAAAGATTCTGTTTTTTCAGGTTATCTGCTTAGAAACATAGGACTGATTCATTGTGTGGGGGGGGGGGGGTCTTTTTCCTAAGAGCCTAGTGCAGAAAAACATCCTGTAACTGGTATTAAATATGTGCTTGCAGATGTAAATTGCACCTTTTCCTATAAGAAACACGAATGGCCTTTGTAGAGTGATCACAGTGTTTGGCCCTAACACTACAAGAGTTGTATGGGGAAAGAGCCGTTTACTTTGTATGCTACCTAGAACACCGGAGGACATCTGCCTAGAGGAAACTTGAGACTAAACCATACTGTAAGCTTCCATTAGACTGGAAACATAAGTAGTCTTGCACTGTTTCTCAAAATATAGGGATGCTATTAATGCCACTCTCACACCTCTCAGAGCACTATGTTCTTCCCAAAAATCAAATTTGGCTCAGGGCATTAACAGCTTTGCAAGTTCCATTAAACCCTACTGAGGAAGAGACTAAACAGTGAAGTTTAAGGGCCAAAAGTGTGTGCTGATTTACCACGTATATTATGCAAACCACTTACTTCAGTCAGCGGTGCACTTGCACTGAATTCACTCTGAAATCGCATGTCTCAGAAACAGAGGTGATAACTGCCAAAACATATCAATGTCTACTAATTCTCCTTCAGTGCACACCAAGTTTAGATTCTCTCTTAGGAGAAAATTTAGCATTTCGGACAAGAAGCTTACCTGAGCCAAGTTAATTCCATTAGCAGAATGTATAAAATTAATTTTTCCACTATCTGACACAACCTCACACTCACCAAGTCTAGTCTGACTAGTCTTATTTATGATTTTTTGTGGGACGCTAGTTCAAAATACAGATGACATCATGCTGTTCAAATCTACACACTTCTACTCTGAAGTCCATTTTTTCTTTGGTGTAATACCACGATGGATAGATTTATTCTTTTCCCGCAGGAAACACGACTTATTGAGTAGTCTTACATTCCTCACGTTCTCAAACCCATATTTATCAATACGAGTTTTAAACCTTTCTTACTTAAAAGCAAGCATGACTATTAAATATGATTTAAAACCAAGACTTCTTTATAGCATAAAAAATAAAGGATTGACTAGAGCTTTCAAATGTATGTTCCTTACTTTACCTTATTGCTGTATACAGATGCCTTAAAATAGAGAGTAACAGTAAATAGCATTGGATAATGAACAGTACTTATAAAGGCTCTGCACACTAAGAGCAATATATCCTTCACCATACAGCATCGCACATCTAAGGAAACCATGTCTGATGAAGAACTAGTATGATCTGGCAAAGAATTTGTAAGACACTCAAGAAATCCAGAGTTCTACTCCCTATGACGAATTCGCTGTAAAAAAAATAGAAAACAGTGGATAGGAGTAACACTTTTACCAACGCGCTGGTCGTGCTTCTAATACACTGTAAATTTTGCAAAGAAAATCCACCATAATTACATTACAGAAGTGTCACAGGGGAAGAAACGCACCTTGGACTCCACTTTTCCAGGAGGCAGAAATTCCATTTCAAATATGGGATTATCATGATGACCAACTATCACAAAGTAGAAACTTCCAGACATTCTTCAACACACTGTTCCTTGCACGAGAAGACAGACACGCTTTACTGATGGGTCTATATGCCAACTCCCGCTCCGTCTGAAAAACGCTCCTCAAAATCAGCCAGCGTGCTCCCTATTCACATCTACCAGAGGCTGACGTGAGATCAACCCTTTCTGAGGTGTGCACGTTATATTGAAACGGGGGGGG